GGCGGAGCGGCAGGCAGAGGAGAAGCAGACTCCCCGCTGAGCAAGGGAGCCCCACACAGGACTCGATCCCAGAACCCTGGGATCATGACTGAGCCACCCAGGCGCCCCTCCACTGATTTTCAAAACAGATATTCTATACAAAATATCCACTCCACAAATATTTACCAAGGCCCTTGCTTTGCATGGGCCAAGCACTGTGTTAGGCCCTGGGGAATCTGGCGATGAGCAGAGCAGTCACTGTCCCTGAGAAATCCCAGTCTGATGGAGGAGACAGCCCAGTAAAAGAGCTATCCTCCCCTGGAAGAAGCATTAGGACAGCTGCCCTTCCCAGCTGTGGGACCCAGGGCAAGTCACCTAACTTCTCTGTGCATTGCTTTCATTATCTGCGGATGAGGATAATAGGAGTGCCCCTCCTTGGCAAGTTATGAGGGTTAAATAATATATTTAAAGGGCTTGGAACAATATAAATCACATAGAAAGGGCAATGGGAGAGTTTGTTCTTGTGGGTGGTGATAGTATTGTTATTCTTGGAGTGGTTACTGAGGGAGACAATACTTCCCTCACCCCGTGCTTTCCCAAACCAGAAGGCCTTCCCCAAGGAGGTCAGGCAAATGGAGTATTGAAGAAGAGGAGTTGGTCAAATGGCTGAGGGGCCCAGGGAATGGGGGAAGGAGAAGGGAGAGAACACTAAGGGGAGAAGATGGAGCAGAAAGAGGAGCCTGGGGAGGCACAGAGGTGCGGACAGCATGGCAAGTATGCGAGCAGAAAGCAGTTTCATTCAAACGGGGAGGGATTTAGAAGATAAGCCATCAAGTTAAGGTTAGACCATAATGGACAGATCACAAAGGGTCTGATGCATCATGCTAAGGAACTGGAATTTTACAAAACCAATTTACAGAAAAATCTTTTCTAGAGATGTGTGAAATGCTTACTCAGCTGTATCAGCAAAAGTGCCCTGCATGACCGATTACTGATAATAAGAATGGAAAATGCATGGAAGGGCCCACAGGTACCTGGCTCTGCCTGTAGATCCTTGGGTTTGTGGACTGTGATGATTTCGTGTAGCTTCTTTTCTCTATCCCTGGAGTGGCTCCCCTCTACCCACATGGCATGGTGGTAATAGCCTACCACCCTGACGGCATTCGAGGCTCTGACAAACTCTTCTGCTGTCCTTCCCAGCACCCTTTTGTCCTTACTATCAGAACCCTGACATTTTGTTCTGGTGTCCACACTTCTCTGCCATCCAGGAACTCAGCAGAGAAAATCCTGATTAGTTGAAACCACTCATGTACTTCTACCCCCTTTCCCAACGATGGGCTGAGGGATAGGAGGGCACTTGCCACAATTCTGGCCAGAGACAAGAGGGAACCCAGAAGGCTTCTGGGAAAGTTCTCTCTCTGAAAAAGCAATGCAGAAGCAGGCAAACCTCTTCTTCCTCTGTATGTGGTATTGGCTGAGTGACACCTGGAATTATATGTCCTCTAGAACATCCAACACAATGTCTTCCATAGTATAGTTCAATAAGTTTATGTTCCGTTGAAACATGAAGATTTAGAACAACTTCCTATGACATAATTAGGGTGGTTGTTATCCCTTTGGCAGATCAGGAAGCTGAGAGAGATGAATGAGCAAATATTAGGTCTAGAGAATAAGCAGAAATAAACCTAGTTCTCAGGATTGCTAGTGTTTCTACAATACTGGGATGCTTCTCTTTCATCTATGGGCCAAAAATTTTCACAAAGATTGGAATTTGTGCCCAGACAACAAAGGAAGGTATCGAAGTAAAGTAAATTGCTGGATTAAAATGACTTTTGCATTTTTGTTCACACTGGATAAGCCATTGGAGGCTGAACTAAAACATATGAAAAGATGGGTTCTAGTGCTTTTTCAAGTCAAAAATATACCTAGATGTCTCCATCAGATAGCTGCCCCAACCAGGAACAACAACCAATAATAGAGCTTGCCAATTAGTGTGCCCCAAAAGCATTGGGGTCCTTGGAGAGGCAGGCACTGTCTCATGGTTTGAGGAGCCTCTTCACTTGACCTTAGTGGCACAATCAGTTTGCACTGCTATCACCAAGAACTATAGACTGGATGGCTTATAAACAACCAACATGTATTTCTCAGTCTTGCAAAGGCTAGACATCCAACATCAGGGTACCCGATGGTCAGGTTCTAGTAGGGCCCTCTTCCAGGCTGCCATAGTCTCGTGTGTCCTCATACAGCAGAAAGGGGGCCAGAGAGCTCTGTGGTTCCTTTTACAAAGGCACAAATCCCCAAAGGCCCCCACCTAATACTACTACATTGGGGGTTAAGATTTCCATATCTGAATCGGCTGGGGGACACAAAGAGTCAGTCCATTGTACCCAGTGCGCCATACAAATGTTGTTACTATTCACGTGTGCCAGGACATGAAATACGTTCGGGAAGCCCATGCCAGTCTTCCCATGTCTTTCCCCGAATCTCCGTATCTCCCACTGCTGTCTTTCATAAACCCTCCATTTCAGCAAACTGATCTGCTCACTGTCCCCCAAATACTTTGAGGCTTGGAAACCTTCCCCTCTGATTCCTCCTCCTACATTAAATCCTAGGCCTCCCTCTGCATATTAAATTTTTTTTAAATTCCACCCAAAGTGATCTCTTCCCTCAAACTGTTATATTTTTGTAACAAACATTATAGAATGTACTTAATCTGACCTATACGTACTATCATATTGTACATCCTAACTTTGCTTCTGCACATCTCATCTCTCCAACTAGACCATAAATAATCCCTCTGAAGACTATCACACTGAGCTTTCCTCATAGCAAATGATTCATTTTTATTTTTTTTTTTTTAAGATTTTATTTATTTGACAGAGAGAGACACAGCGAGAGAGGGAACACAAGCAGGGGGAGTGGGAGAGGGAGAAGCAGGCTTCCCGCGGAGCAGGGAGCCCGATGCGGGGCTCGATCCCAGGACCCTGGGATCATGACCTGAGCCGAAGGCAGATGCTTAACGACTGAGCCACCCAGGCGCCCCAAATGATTCATTTTTAATCTGTTTATTAACCACTGACAGATCTTACGGGATTATTTTCTCATCTGTCCTACCTTGTCATTCCTGTGATGGTTGGAAGTGATATAGAAGTTCATGTATGTCTACTGATAATAAAACATGGTGCTAGATGCATGGAGATCCACAGAAGGGAGGGTAGAGAAGAAAAGAGAAACATATCAATAAAGCAGGTAAATGATGAAGCCTAGAGGTCTTCTAACTGAGGATGAAAGAGGCCCTAACTAGTAAAGGATTCTTCTGCAAGGAGGAAGTATCCACAGAAAGGAAGGAGACATTGACCATTACTTCTGCCTTGGAACGCTTATGACATATAGTCAAATTTTAGCGGCTATGTTAGGATTTGGGGAAGGGCAGGGTAGTTTTAATCTCAAACCACCAATAAAGCCTGAACTGTTTGCAAGTTCAGTCATAGAACAGACAATATTTGCATAATTGGACTTAGCTGAGTAGTTCCTTCAGCGGCAAGGAGACCCAAGAGCCAGCGTCTAGCACTTCAGAATACTAATGCCTATGTATGGGAAGTGCAGGGTGGAGGGGGTGATCAGGTTGGGATGTGTCCCCTGAGTGTGACTGAGCCAGGGCTAGGAAGGGATCTGTTGAATGGTTTGGGAACAGAGCTGGCCAAGCTCATGGCCCCTCTGTGGTCAGCTCATCTGCCCCCATTAGCCTCCCTTCAACACTCTGGGGGAAGCACAGCTTGGCCAACTCCTCCAGATGGTTCCTTGGCCCCTCATTCAGAATCAACCAGGAGGGCCAGCTCTGAGGCTTCTAAATCTGCCAGCCTCCTAAGGGAGTATTCCTAAATAGGAATATACTTGGGGAAGCTGATGAGGCCCCTCTAAATATTTGGGAGGCAATCTTCGAATCAAATGGTTCGCCTGCTGCTGTCAAGGATTATAGGTCCTTGGGTGTGAACTCTAGTACAGGAAACCCTGGGCTGGAGGGGAGGGGACACTGGTTGAGGATCTGAGTGGGCTTCGGGATTCCAGAAGGAACTGAGGTCACCTGGAAAATACAGAACTACTCTAAAAATTATTTAGGATGGCTTTTCTATGGATTCTCTATTCCCATGGGACTCCAGCCATATACATATATATATCTCAGTGACACAGTCTGTCTGATAATAAGACAGTGCTCAGCTCCCTAGTTCTCCCATGACACCAAGGAACCTTCTATTTTTTTCTGCAGCCAATCATTGCTCACAGTAAGTCTCCCCCTACAATACACATGGACATACCAGTGATATTTTGGACCCTCAATGCTCTGAAAATACAGAGAAATGTCTCAGCAAGGTAAAGAAGCAAGCTCCCAGACCTTGTCTTTGAAAATATTCAGTGTGGTAACTCAGGTCCCTGGATCACTAGGTTTCTCTCCCCCCATCCCTCAGTTACAGCGTATGAACAAGGGTCCATCTGAATTCCCATGGAAAAAAAAATTAATTCAGTGAGCTTTGCAGGACTAATGGGTTTAGTGTGGCTCTTAAAAATCTTCCTACCAGGCTGTTTGTCTAATATTGTGGCTGTTAGGCCTTTTCTTCTCAGAACTATCTAGAAAAAACTATCTATTTCTGTCTCGTGTGTTTATGTCTTATGAGTGTGTATTTTAATTTGTTTCAGCCTCTCCCCTTCTAAAAAATTCATTCAAAGAGGAGAATATATGTATGGTAAACATTGTTCACTCTCATGCTTCACTCTGGGCTTAACAGGAAATGCATTTCTGACACTTTTAAAATGAGCAATCACACGTATAATCAACTTGGTTAAAACTTCCTTCCTGGTAACTGCAACACTTCCTCTGCATCTGGATATGCAGGGAGACCCAGAAAAGCGGAAGAGTTTAGAGGCACACTGGGTAGATTCGAATTTGTTTTGTTTTCAAAAATTAAACAAATGATCCTTCAGCATCATCACCTCCGCTGCTTTATCAGGTATTACTTCCTTCTATTTTTTGCCCTTTTGTTGGGTCTGACTCGGACTAGTGACACTTCCGTCTCAGCTCGAATATTTTTATCTGGAATGGCTGTCGGTTCTTGAGATGATACCACCACTGAATGTCTCCTTGTCATTGTCTAGTCCAACCTAGACATGTGGATATCCACAAGGTTCCGGCAAAACCTTTTTCAGGTGCATCTGTCCTTTTTTGTTGTTTTGTTTTTGTTTGAGAGGAAGGGGGAAGGCAAGGGGCTTGTGCCAGCTGGGCTTCACGTTCTTACAAGTGCATGCTTAGTGCCTATTGTGCCTAACGGTGTTTCTGACGCCTTCTCTTAAGAGGAGAGAGCTTCGTAGCCTCAGCCATGAAGGAAAGCAGTGAGTATTTAGCCAGCCCGTTTTCTTCTGCATTTTGTATCTTGTGAGATTGTTTGGTATCACAGAGGCAGAAGTGATTGCTGTGTATTTGTCTTTTGCCTCAACTTGGACCTATTTTATTTCAACTTGGTGTCAATATAAATGTATCTTATGGTTCTCTTCTTTGGCAGTTAATCTATAATGTAGCCACAGACCAAACAGTGAATTAAAAGCTGCAAGAGATAGTCCTTTGGGACAGTTGAATTCATGTCTCTACTAAATATAACTTCATCATTTTTGAAGAGAGGGAATGTTGACTTTAAAAGTAAATTGAGGTCAAGATTTGAATAGAAGTTTGGATCTAATGAACCTTGTCTTTTTTATCTTTTAATCAAACTCTCCTTTTTGGTACACATCAAATGGTCTGCTATTTCTTAAGGAAATAAGTAGTTACGAGTCTCACTAACATTAGTCATTTAAGAGAGTAAACGATATTTTCTGAAACATTAATTTTTGTTTCGATATTTGATTCTTATTTAGAATATAACTTACAATGCCATGATATAAGTATGAAAATAAAAACCCTCCACTGTATTTCAATTTTAATATTTTTAGTATTTATTTGAAGTGTTTCCTATTGCATTCTGTCACATTTATACTGAAATGTTTTGTGAAGGGTAGGTACTTATTAAAGATTTAGGAAAAGAGTGAACTGATGAGAATAAATTTGTGAATTCTCATTATAGAGATGAAAATATGAGGGCAAAAAAGAAGTTAAATTATCCACTGGGGTCCAGATAGCAGGTCACTGGAGTCCAGAAATCCTTCCTTCCATCCTGTGGCTTCTCCACTATGGAAGGCAGAGCAGATGGAATGAATTGGTGCAAAATTAAACATCTGAACATTCCTACCAGAAGAGCACAGCCTTGGGGGACTCTCCTAAGATACTGCTCTAATGGAGCAAAGACATTTCACAATTCAAAAACTTAAATACCTGCAAATATTCTTGCTTTGCAACTTCACCCATTCTGATGGTTTTGAATATTATCAATGAAATTACTACCTTTCCTAACTAGAAAGGGAAAAAATGAAAAGAAAAAGACAGGAAGTTGGCTAGAGAGTAGATACCTGATCCAGACAGCTTGAAAATCACGAATGTGCAGCATGGTTGGGTGAGGTGTCTGAGTTCCAAGGAGAAGTGTCAGACTGACCAAAGACGAAACAAGTTGAAGGCCTGTTTTCAAAGTGGGTTTCAGCATCTCACACTGCGCCTTGTAAATTAGAACTCGGCCCTTTAAGTGGATGATTTTACTCCTCTATCCGTATCAGTATGCTTAAGAACAACAATTACCACTTGGAGCCATCGTAACATGTCAGGGACCGTGCGAGATGAGTGCTTTACATGTCTCTTTTTAATTAAATTTTCAGACGTAATGAAAGTACACAATAAATGAACTCCCATATACCTATCGCCCATACTGAACAAGGATATTACCTTATCTAATCCTCACCTCCACCCTCTGAGGTATTCCTAACCCCAACTGACAGGTGGGAAACAGACGAAGAGATCATTTAACTAGCTCAAGGCAGCCAGGTGCTAAGTGGCGGGATCAGGATTCACGGGCCCCGATTCCAAACCCGCCCCCCGCCCCCCGTATCTTCGTGCGCGCATCATTGCCATTCTTCGCCCTTCTCCTTCTGCCACCTCGTGGAAAAAATGTAAACAGAAAGTGCCTTCCCTGTGTCTGTGCTCCCAGGTCATGTCGGGCATGGAGCTGAAGCACCATGAACAGCCCGTGGTTCTGAGAGAGGACAACGGCCGCCGGCGCCGGAGGATGAAGCCGCGCAGCTCCGCAGCCAGCCTGTCCTCCATGGAGCTCATCCCCATCGAGTTCGTGCTGCCCACCAGCCAGCGCAACAGCAAGACCCCTGAGACGGCGCTGCTGCACGTGGCCGGCCACGGCAACGTGGAGCAGATGAAGGCCCAGGTGTGGCTGCGCGCGCTGGAGACCAGCGCGGCGGCGGACTTCTACCACCGGCTCGGGCCGGACCACTTCCTCCTGCTCTACCAGAAGAAGGGCCAGTGGTACGAGATCTACGACAAGCACCAGGTGGTGCAGACCCTGGACTGCCTGCGCTACTGGCAGGTGCTGCACCGGAGCCCGGGCCAGATCCACGTGGTGCAGCGGCGCGCGCCCTCCGAGGAGACGCTGGCCTTCCAGCGGCAGCTCACCGCCCTGATCGGCTACGACGTCACCGACGTCAGCAACGTGCACGACAACGAGCTCGAGTTCACGCGCCGCCGCCTGGTCACGCCGCGCATGGTCGAGGTGGCTGGCCGCGACCCCAAGCTCTACGCCATGCACCCGTGGGTGACCTCCAAGCCCCTCCCGGAGTATCTGCTGAAGAAGATCACCAACAACTGCATCTTCATCATCATTCACCGGAGCACCACCAGCCAGACCATCAAGGTCTCGGCCGACGACACCCCAGGCACCATCCTCCAGAGCTTCTTCACGAAGATGGCCAAGAAGAAGTCTCTGATGGATATCCCGGAGAGCCAAAGCGAACAGGATTTTGTGCTGCGCGTCTGCGGCCGGGACGAGTACCTGGTAGGTGAAACGCCCATCAAAAACTTCCAGTGGGTGAGGCATTGCCTCAAGAACGGAGAGGAGATTCACCTGGTGCTGGACTCGCCTCCAGACCCAGCCCTGGACGAGGTGAGGAGAGAAGAGTGGCCACTGGTGGACGACTGCACGGGAGTCACTGGCTACCACGAGCAGCTGACCATTCACGGGAAGGACCACGAGAGTGTGTTCACCGTGTCCCTGTGGGACTGCGACCGGAAGTTCAGGGTCAAAATCAGAGGCATTGATATCCCTGTCCTGCCCCGGAACGCCGACCTCACGGTTTTTGTGGAGGCAAACATCCAGCACGGGCAGCAGGTCCTTTGCCAGAGGAGAACCAGCCCCAAACCCTTCACGGAGGAGGTGCTCTGGAACGTATGGCTTGAGTTCAGTATCAAAATCAAAGACTTACCCAGAGGGGCTCTACTGAACCTCCAGATCTACTGCAGCAAAGCTCCAGCGCTGTCTGGCAAGGCCTCTGCAGAGACTCCCGGTTCCGAGTCCAAAGGCAAAGCTCAGCTTCTCTATTACGTGAACCTGCTGCTGATAGACCACCGGTTCCTGCTGCGCCACGGGGAGTATGTGCTCCACATGTGGCAGATTTCCGGAAAGGGAGAAGACCAAGGGAGCTTCAATGCAGACAAGCTCACGTCGGCAACCAACCCAGACAAGGAGAACTCCATGTCCATCTCCATTCTTCTGGACAACTACTGTCACCCAATCGCCTTGCCTAAGCATCGGCCCACCCCTGACCCCGAAGGGGACCGGGTTCGAGCGGAAATGCCCAACCAGCTTCGGAAGCAACTGGAAGCGATCATAGCCACTGATCCACTTAACCCTCTCACGGCAGAGGACAAAGAATTGCTCTGGCATTTTAGGTATGAAAGTCTTAAGCATCCAAAGGCCTATCCTAAACTGTTTAGCTCCGTAAAATGGGGACAGCAAGAAATTGTAGCCAAAACATACCAACTGTTAGCCAGACGGGAGGTCTGGGACCAAAGTGCTTTGGATGTTGGGTTAACGATGCAACTCCTGGACTGCAACTTTTCGGATGAAAACGTAAGAGCCATCGCAGTTCAGAAACTGGAGAGCTTGGAGGACGATGATGTCCTGCATTACCTGCTACAGCTGGTCCAGGTAGGGATGCTGCTATGCTCCACAGAGCACTCTCCTCAAAGAGTTTATTTGGGTGTACGCGGGCACCCCATCCAGTTGTCATCAAATGCCCTTTGTCCCTAGCGTCACAATCAGTCACAGTAGATCTGATGAAGCCATGTCAAAAAATAGTGAACTGCCCCATTTACTTTTTTACTCTCTTGGAGGGGTTGCCAATAAGCATTTTGAAGACCTAAGTAATTTTGCTTTTTAGGAAAACTGGCCCTACAGGAGTACTTTTGTTCTCATTTACTGTATGAGTAACAGATCCGATTTATTGAATGCTCCCTTGTGCCCAGACTCTGAGGCTCCAAGTGATTTGCATGCTTTTCCTGTATTCTCACATTGGACTCTCCCAACTACTATGATGGAGGTCAAATTAACATTTGCATTTTATGTGTAAGGACACAGGGGCACGGGAGTCTAAGTAGTGTGCTTCAGGTCACATATTGGGAAAGAATCAGACCAGAAATCCAAACCAGGAGGTCTGACTCCAGGCCTTACTCTTTTCACTGCCTCCAATATCCTGCATCAATCCTGTGTCAGGATAGTGTGTCCTAGAGGAAAAAGATCAGCCTCTCTGATCACGCTCATCACCATCCATAGAATAACATCTCCTCTCTGGGTGGCACCTTGAAAGCCCCTCTCGTTAGACAGGTCTGGTCCAGGATTTCCACTCGGGGTTCTCACATCTTTCCCTGTTGTCCAGAGGGGCTCAGCAGTTTGACTACGATTTACCTATAGGAAGTTGGAAAAAAGGAGGCATGATTCCACACACCACGGCCGTTCCCGGGTGGTGCTGTGCTGCTTAACGAGGAAGAGGAAGTAAAGGAATTGGAAGAGAAGTGTTTATTTTAGAGTGCAGACATGTCCCTTTATTAATTCAACAACACGTACTGAGTGTTTCCCCTGTTCTGGATGCTAGATATAGAGTGGTGATCACAACCGAGCCAGTCTCTGCCCGCCCACCCCCTTATAGCTTGTGGTGCGGTGGAGGAGATTGACAGCAAATGCATACACATACAGACATATTTAATACCAAATTGTTCACAGGCTTTGGGGGAAAACTGCAGAGTATTATGAGAAAATAGGCAGGAGTCCTGGGGATACTTAATTTAGCTGGAGGAAACCAGGGACAGTTTTGAGTATGTGATGTTTGACCTGAGATCCCAGGCTGTGTTAGACACTAAACAGCCAAATCATTAGCTATCGTTAGAGGAAGGCCCCGGAGTTTTCTGATGAGCATTTTGGATATTCTCAACTTCAACTCTGAATCTTCACCTTCTCATTAGGTGGATACTTGAAACATGACACTCGACCTTTGTTTTCATCTATTAAATGTACTTAATATTTTTTCTCTGCCGACTTAATTCAGATACTGACATCACACAAATGAAAATTAATGAAATTTAATTCACTGATGAATTATTTTTCATTGTCATTTTCACAAGTCAATTTTGCAGAACTCGAAAATGAATAGCATTCTTCTTGGAACTGTTTTAAATGAAAGAGGTCAATAAGTAACACTAACATTGAATTTGTGGTCATAAATTTGAGAAAGAGCCGTCATTTGTAAAACTATTTGAGACATTTTCAGATATGGCAGAATGACTCATTCCTGATGAAAATGGTCTCCTGGTTGAGATCTACATTGTGTTTACAGAAGTGAAACATGAATAAGGTCAAAAAGACTCACGTTCGAGGTAGAAACTTACAACTGATTCTGAAGTCAGTGGCTAAATAACCACATTTTCAGAATTCAGACCTTCACAGCAGCTCCAGACACCTACTGGCCCACACCCATGAGAAGCACCTTTGACAGCATGGGGATAAGAGATATTATCACTCAGTCTTGATCATTTCCAAACTGGAAAACCAGAGTAAGAACTGGAAATTGTACCAAGAATCCTATAAGCCTGCAAACATAAAGTGGAATGGGAATTTCTTTGGTTCCTTGGGGAAAAAAAGATAGGCCACTTCTATTTGTAAAGGAAATACTCTCTAAGAGTATTTTTAATTTCATGTAAGCCTCTCTTTATGCGTACACATGATATCCACCCTCTAACTTTTTGTATGCATCTTATTTGCTAGTCTTGCGGCTGTTAAAATGATGAGCTATTGCAGACTTACTGTAAATACAGAGAATGAAATAACAAATATTCATACACCCACCATTCTTAATTATTTTTTCCACTTTACTGTGCTTTTCCTTCAGTCATAGAGCTGTCTGCCACCCAAGTCAATATCTCTGTGATAGCCAAAGCATATGAAAACTACGAAACCTGAAGGAGCATCTAAAATCAGAGACTTTTCAGACAAAAACCTCTGTCTACACTGCCACATGGCAGGGGGTAGTGATCACTCTGTGTGGACGGTCCAGGCCTGCTATTTACTTGCAGGAAGGGCCTGTGAGGCAGCTTGGTGACTTGCCAGTGAGATGCCAAACAAACATCTTGAGCAAAAGAGGAGCGATAGGATTTTTAGGATCTTCACATCTAACAAATACTTTTCTCCTTATATGTACTATTATCTCCACTGTCCATTTCCTTTCCAACAACCTCTTTTACATTCCACTTTTGTGGATTTGTTATAGCCATCCCCGTGGGTCCTGTCTGTCCTTCCAGTAAATCAAGTAAGCCCTTAATGGGAGCTAAAGCCTTACCACTTCACCTTTGAAGTTATCAAAAGCACATAACGGTAAGTCAAGTGTTCTTGCTTCTAATCCCAGGCCCTAAGCAAGTGGTTCACTCTGGCCCAAAGTGTCCTCGAAAAGAAAGGGTTGACTTGAGTGACTGGTAAGATTCTCATCACCCTCGCCCGGAAAGACCCAGGAAGGCAGACCATTTCCCCTCCATTCCCTTTTTCCTGATTAACCAACACAGAGTGCAGTCCTACAAGTGCCCATGTGTTCTTCCCTCAGGCTGTGAAATTTGAACCATATCATGACAGCGCCCTGGCCCGATTTCTGCTGAAGCGAGGCTTAAGAGTAAGTCCTTCCACTTTGATCATAGCGGGGCATTTCCAAAGTTAGCAAGAATTGACTGCCAGAGCGTGAGTCACAATAATTTCATCCTTCTCATTCCCACCCTCAGAACAAAAGAATTGGTCATTTCTTGTTTTGGTTCTTGAGAAGCGAGATAGCCCAGTCCAGGCACTATCAGCAGAGGTTCGCCGTGATCCTGGAAGCCTATCTGAGGGGCTGCGGCACGGCCATGCTACACGACTTCACCCAACAAGTTCAAGTGATCGAGATGCTGCAGAAGGTCACCATTGATATTAAATCGCTCTCTGCTGAAAAGTATGATGTCAGTTCCCAAGGTACAGTGGCTGTGTTCTCGGGGTTCCCTTTCCAAAGGGAACCTTCATTTCCAAATGCCATCATCCTTGTGATTCTTCTCCTTCAGGAAGGCAAGTCGCACCTTCCGAAAGGGAGCCCCAAGGACACATTTTTTAATCCTCTGTCTCTGTGGAGTAAGCAAATTTAAAGCTCTCCTTTTACACATTCATATTTTTTTGAACTATACATGTATACGTGCTAATGATGAATTTATGATAATAGTCATTAAGCTCTTTGAAAAATTAAAAAAGCATTATGCCGATGTAAGATGGATTAAGAACAATTGCACGCACATACACAAAGATTAGTTCTTTGCAAATATTTACCAGTTTCCTCCCTTTTAATATATGTGTGTAATTTTCAAATTTTCAGTCTTTTAAAGAAATGAATTATTGAGAAGCTAATTAAAAATCTGTGTGTATATATATTTATATATATATATATATATTTATATATGTCAGGGTACTTGTATACATATGTAGATACCTCCTCTCTGAAGTCATTTCCAATGTGATCTTATGCCTAAGAAATCCTGCCCCTGCCCCTAGGAAAATTAATCACTCTTTCTCTGTATTCCCATAGGTTTGGGTTGATACTGTATTAAATTATAGTCTTTAACACATCTTTCTGGTCTGGTAAACTGTATGAGCCTTGAAACTAGGGGATATTTCTTATTCATTTTTGTATACCTAGACCCAGCACTATGGCTCCTAATGGACACACTCTAACATACTCAGCCAGTATTTTAAACTTTTAAATATTCTGAATTTCCACTTTTTCTCTGTCTTTTCCAATACACCTGCAGTGCTCTCTCCTAAAAAATAATAATGGTAATAATCATCTGACTTTTATTTGCTTTGTATGTAAGAAAGGGAAACACTTGTCCTGGCCTCCAGTATGATATCCAGGAAGTCATTTTTAACCTACATATTTTGCCTTAGAATTTAGAATTCTGAAGAACTCTTGAATTTTGAGGCTATCACGTTGTCTCCACATAACCTAACTTCCTCTTTTGAAAAGAATTTACAGAACCCTAACCGAATGGCATTTAATACGGTCTTCAAATGTCTGTTCCCCAAACCACACTGGCAGTTGAGAGTTTCACATTGGAATGATAACTACAGTGTTCATTCCTTAGCCTTACCCTCAAAATTCCCTCCCCTACCTGACTGGCTTGGGATTCCACAGACGCAATGCAATCCTACGCTTCTATCCTCTGCTGTCTCACGCATCATGGTCATATTGCTCACAGTAAGCCTGACTTATCATGCCACCTCTTATGTTAGTTCCTCAAAGACAGAACCCTACCCCCTGCTCCACACCAAATGGATGGAATGTTATGAAGAAATGTGGCCTCAGGAAGTGTTCTAATGTTGGTGACTTCTCGAACTCACGTAACTTTTGTGTGCTTTTGACAATTACAGTTATTTCACAACTTAAGCAAAAGCTCGAAAACCTGCAGAATTCAAATCTCCCAGAAAGCTTTAGAGTGCCGTATGACCCTGGACTGAAGGCAGGAGCATTAGTGGTAGGTATCACCCTGAGGTCTCCAAGTGTTCTTTGTGTCTTGAAGTTGTCTGTGCATACCTTACAGGGCCCTGTGGGTCAAAGCTAACGTGTCTAGAGAGACAGAGAAGCTGGAAAGGCCCCGAGAGGGCTCCTGTCAGGGATTTCTCTAAGCGCTAGCTACTCGAAGCCTCCACACCAGGCAATCTCCCATCCACTTGGTTTTAAATCAGCTCTCTTAAGGAATCATTCACGTACAATAAAATCTGTTCATTCTAAGTATACAGTTCAATGAGTTTAGACAAATCATATAACCACCACCACAATCAGGATAGAGGACATTTCCAAGGAGATGTCATAGGCAAGTTTCTTTCATGTGCCTTTGCAATTAGCCCTTCCCTCCTTCCATCCCCTGTCCTGGACAACAGATCTGCCTCTGTCACATCATTGTGCTTTTCCTAGAATTTCATGAAATGGAGTCATACCGTATGTGGTTTTTTGTATCTGGATTCTTTTCCTTAGCATAGTGCTTTTGAGATCCATCCACGTCGCTGTGTGTGTCAGCAGTCTGTTCCTTTTTTTTAATGACTGAGTGGTATTCCCCTATGTGGATATACTACTATTTGTTTTCCATTCACCTTTTGAGTAAATAATTAACAGCGAGTTAGTGGAGTCATGGTACATGTATGTTTAATTTTATAAGACACTGCCAAAGTGTTTTTCCAAAGTGACTGTACCATTTTATGTTCCCACCAGCAGTGTGAGTTCCAGTTGTCCCACATCCTCGTCAACACTATTAGCAATCTTTAATTTTAGCCATTCCAGTGGTGAAGTGGTTTCTCACTGTTGCTTTTATTTGCGTATCTCTAATGATGTTGAGTATCTTTTCATGTGCTTTGTTTTATTTTTTGAGAAGTTTCTGTTCTCATCTTTCATTCATTTTTAATGTGGGTTGCCTTCTTACTTTCAAGTTATTTTTATATTCTGGATACAAGTCCTTTATCCTTTCTCAGGTATACATTTTACAAATACCAGTCCATGGCTTGCCTTATCATTTTCTTAGTAGTGTATTTCAAAGAGCAGAGGGCTTAATTTTGATTAAGCCCAACTTACCACTTTTTTTATAGTTTGTTTTTTTGTGTGTGTCCTATGATACATTTGCTTTATCCAGTAATTCTCACCCAGGGTTGACACCCCCCAAAACACACACACACACACACACACACACACACACACACACACACACACGGTAATGTCTGGAGCTATTTTTTATTGTCACAACTGGGACAATGCTACTGACATCTAGTGGGTAGAGACCAGGGATGCTGCTAAATATCCTACAATGCACAGAACAGCCCCCCAATGACAATAAATGATCTAGCCCAAAATGTCAACAGTGCCAAAGTTGAGAAATACTGCCTCATTCAATGCGAAAAAATACTTTTCCTAGAGTCTCATGGTTTTCACTTTTATATGTAAGTCCTTGATCCATTTTGAGTTAATTTTGTGTACAATGAGAAGTAAAGATCAGGTATGGGTTTTTTAGAATTGAATATCCAACTTTTCTGGCACCATCTGTTGAAGACTAACCTTTTCCTGTTGAAATACCTTGGCACTTTGTCAGATATCAATTGACCATATGTGGGAGTGAGTCTATATCAAGATTCTCTAGTGCACTTCATTGATCTAAATATCTAGCCTTGGCGTGCCCAGATGGCTCAATTGGTTGAGTTTCTGACTCTTGATTTTGGCTCAGGTCATGATCTCTGGGTTGTGAGATCAAGACCCGCATCGAGCGCTGCACTCGGCAGGGAGTCTGGGATTCTCTCTCTCCCTCTTCCTCTGTCCCTCCCGCTCACTCTAAAATAAATAAATTAACCTCTTAAATAAATAGATAGATAGATATCCTTACATCAATACCACATGCTCTTGGTTACATTCAGATGATAAACCCCTTCATGTTGGCATAAGAATCTTACAACAGTAGACTTCCATCCTTTGTACTATTTTTATCATGCCTGTAACTCCCACATATGTTATAAACCCAATAAAATCATCGTCATTATTATTGCTTTAAACAGTTAAGAATAGATTTAGCAGATTTAAGAGATTAAGCATTTTTTATATTCACCCACATACTTACACATTTGGGACTCTATTTCTTTGTATCGGTTCATGTGTCCACCTGGCATCCTTTACCTTCACCTTAAATACTTCTTACAGTGCAAGTCTTCTGGCTAGAAATTCTTTCAGCTGTTGTTTGTCTGAGAAACCTCTTTATTCCACCGTCATTTTTGAAAGATGTTTCCCCTGGACATCGAATTCTAGGGTGATTTTTTTTTCTCCCTTTCAGTAGCCTTTTCTTCTGGTCTGCATATTTTCTGGTGATAAGTCTCCTGTCATTCTCATCTTTGATTTCTGTACATGTCTTTTTACCCCAGGCTGCTTTTAGGATTTTCTTTTTAGCACCGTGGTTTCCAGCAAATTGATTATGATGGATCTTGGTATGGTTTTATGTTTTGTCTACTAGCATGTGTTGAGCTTGGATAAACGGCAGAGTTGCTCTGTATTAACAGGCATGAGGGAGTACCAGGGCCCTGTAGGAGGGGGGTGTGCCAAGGATGGGATCTGCCATTGCCTCTTTTTTTTTAAGATTTTTTTATTATGTTAATCACCATATATTACATCATTAGTTTTTTTTAAGATTTTATTTATTTATTTGACAGAGAGAGACACAGCGAGAGCAGGAACACAAGCAGGGGGAGTGGGAGAGGGAGAAGTAGGCTTCCCGCGGAACAGGGAGCCCGATGTGGGGCTCGATCCCAGGACCCTGGGATCACGACCTGAGCCAAAGGCAGACGCTTAACGACTGAGCCATCCAGGCGCCCAACATCATTAGTTTTTGATGTAGTGTTCCATGATTCATTGTTTGTGCATAACACCCAGTGCTCCATGCAGAATGTGCCCTCTTTAATACCCATCACCAGGCTAACCCATCCCCCCACCCCCCTCCCCTCTAGAACCCTCCGTTTGCTTTTCAGAGTCCATCGTCTCTCATGGTTCGTCTCCCCCTCCGATTTCTCCCCCTTCATTTTTCCCCTCCTGCTATCTTTTTTTTTTTTTTTTTTTTTTTTTTTTTTTTACATATAATGTATTATTTGTTTCAGAAGTACATTGTGGAGGCGCCCAAGAGGCAGACTCAGGTTTCCTTGGAACACAGTTTGAGAACCCTTGCTTTTAGGTGTTGTGACTTGCTCTCATAGAGCATTTCCAGATTTGGTAGGAACACTTTGTGTATTTTCACCCAGATCATTAAACATCATTTTCCAGCTAGGACTTTGTACTGGTTGTTTGTAGTGATGCTTTGCAAGAGGATTTGTGTCTCCGCATTATGCATTCATTATGTGTAGGAGCCATGTGACCATTTCCTTACAGATTGAAAAATGCAAAGTGATGGCCTCCAAGAAAAAGCCCCTGTGGCTTGAGTTTAAATGTGCTGACCCTACAGCCCTATCCAATGAAACGATTGGAATCATCTTTAAACATGGTGATGATCTGCGCCAAGACATGCTGATTTTACAGGTATGCTACCGTTAAGGAATTTTTTGTTCAATTGCCTGAAAAAATAATTCCATGTTAGACCTAAAAAAAAATGCCTCCTATGGATTCTATTCCCATTCTCCTACTCCGTCCACACACGGTGATCAAAGATTCTGTAACAGAGAGTTTTCACGGGGGGAACGTGGCTGTAGACTATTAGATGTGCAATTAGTGAGCATCCCAGTTCTGTCTGCCTGTGAGATGCACAGCCAGTCTTCCCACATAGCCAGATAGGTCTCCCTCCCCTAACCCCTCTTGTACACAACCCATTCCTAGTAACATAAAATATAGACATATTTGGCCCCCTGGCATCCACTTTATTTGGATTTATAGACATAACTGTGCACCCACAGGTGCTCTCCTTAGATACATCACTTTGATATACATCCACATCCACAAACTCAAGTGAAGGATTTGACAGGAAGGAGAGAGAAGATGAACAGGCAGGTGATTTCAGAAATCATGCAGTTAAGTAGCAAGAGTGAACGGATTACTAGAGCAGAAGGTGGATGGTAATCAATGTTAATCATCCTCCGTATTGTCTAACATTTCCGGATCAACTTTAGCTTTGCAAACTGGTGAAATAAATCTCCATATTTCAGCTCACCATTGTAGAAGTAACATAATTTCTCATCTTTAGTGTGGCTTATTTAAAATAGGCAAACCTTGGGGCACCTGGGTGGCTCAGTCATTAAGCCTCTGCCTTCAGCTCAGGTCATGATCCCGGGGTCCTGGGATCGAGTCCCACATCGGGCTCCTGGCTCAGTGGGGAGCCTGCTTCTCCCTCTCCCACTCCCCCTGCTTGTGTTTCCTCTCTCGCTGTGTCTCTCTCTGTCAAATAAATAAAATCTTTAAAAAATTAAATAAAATAGGCAAACCTCATTGATTTAAATGTGGCCTATTTAAAAACTGGTCATGTTTTCCATTCTTTCCATTTCTGCTTGTACTTATTTCTAATATGGAAACAATAGTACCTTTTGCTCTTTTCAAGAATCCTATGTGTATTGTCCCAGAAGTATTAAAAAGTAAGAAAGAAAAAGAAATCCTTCAAACCTTTTGAAGGTTTGTTGCATTTCCCATAAATCTGTAGACTCCTTTGAATTATTCAAAGACAAGAGCTTCAGAAACGCAAAGCATCACTGTGCATCACTGTGTCCTTCCTCTCACTTTGCAGGGAGGTTTGCACTTGCCTTTTATGTACTTGTTTTGATGCTGAGGCACACACTTCTTGGCAGGTGAGGGCAAGTTTCAAAAGCTTATGAAGCCTTAGTCTCTCCACCTGCAGAATGGGAATGATAATCCTACTCACAGGTTAGGGTAAATGCAAAGGATCAACATAAAACAGACTCAGTAAAGTAGCCAGCATTCTCATCACTGTTAGTGTTGCCTTGGGTTAACCCAAGAGCGCCTTATGGGTAAAAACTCATAGAACGTCAGAGTGGAACATTTTTTGTTGTGGTGATATAATACACATAACTGGAGTGGAACCCCTGGACCGCTGAAACGTGATTACCGCCTCTCCCTGCACTAAGTCCATTCATCGTCTTCCCCAGAGTACATCTGAGGGACCCAACTTAAGAGGCTCCAAAGGAAAGGGAACTTCAGAGCACCCCACTGATAAATAAAGTACAGATGTTACTTACAGAGTGTACGTTAACGTACATATTTCATGTTTCCAGTTAAGATTGTCGGGTTTTTTTTAAAGGAGAAGAAAAATACATTAAACAAATATGTATTTCTAATGGAAACTTTTTTTGTGTCCAATGTCTAGATTCTACGAATCATGGAATCCATTTGGGAGACTGAATCTTTGGATCTGTGCCTCCTGCCATATGGTTGCATTTCAACTGGGGACAAAATAGGTATGTGGTCACCTCGGGAGATGAATGTACTGCTTAGCTCACTTTAAAAGATCCTAAGCCCTTTAGTGCAGGCATTTAATACCTGGAAAATTACAAACATAATCCATATAAAAAGGAAGGCAGTGTTCCAAGGCTGGTGCATGTGCCTCTCGATTTAATGTGGATCTGTTGAAAATATACAAATGTGGGATTCCAATCCTGTGACTATACATGGCAATGATTTTAGTTAAGAACTCATTCCCTCCTCTCTACTTCTCCATGTCTAAACTTTAGCTCGTTTCACTGCACATTAAACTTCTCTCTCACAAATAACATTTAAAAATAGATGGTAAGATCTGTCACTTATTTCAATATCTTAGAATTCACATTATTGAAGCGATTACATACTCGACTCTTAGGTGCTTTTGTAGACATTTAACATTTTTGTTTCCACCACAGATATTTTTATTCGAGCTTCTGATCTGAGAACTGTATAAAACCACTTCCATTTGACCCTTGATTAAAAAAAGGAAAAGGCAGTTTGCCAAGAACCTATGCTCAGCACATACATGCTTTTACTTGTTACCTTTTTTTTTATTATTTTTATTTATTTGACAGAGAGAGACACAGTGAGAGAGGGAACACAAGCGGGGGGGGTGGGAGAGGGAGAAGCAGGCTTCCCGCGGAGCAGGGAGCCCGACGTGGGACTCGATCCCAGGACCCCAGGATCATGACTTGAGCTGAAGGCAGACGCTTAACTGAGCCACCCAGCCGCCCCTACTTATTACCTTTTAAAACCAACCTTTCATCTTTTCATTCAGGGATACTGAAAGCATGTCCCACAAAACTTCCTCCATCTTCCTCCTTTTCTTTCTCTCCCTCCTAAGAAAACCAACAGCACAAACCTGGACAATAGCCTCCTCCCATCAACAGTGACACAGCCATTCACCCTCTAGGTCAGGCACCAGGCCCCAATTTACATCAGATTCTGTGCCTCCTCCCATAGGCATGATCGAGATCGTGAAAGATGCCACGACAATTGCTAAAATTCAGCAAAGCACAGTGGGCAACACGGGCGCATTCAAAGATGAGGTCCTGAATCACTGGCTCAAAGAAAAATGCCCTATCGAAGAAAAGGTGAGCTCCTGCTTTTCCCAGCGCCGAAGGCTCCTTACACGCTTGTCATTTATGGTAGCAGTGACGGGTTCGTGTTTTCAAAGGATCTACCCGTGTCATGCCTCCTGATGTTGGGTGAAACCCTTTCCTTGTGAGGCCGCGGGGGTTTTAAATGCCTTCCCCGGGGGACACAGCAGATCTGTGTAAAACGCAGGTGCTCCGTTTAGAATGCTGTAAGCATTTGTTTCTCGTTTGATTATCAGGCACGCTTTGCATAAAATTTGGCTCTATGAAATAATGTGTTGGCACTTTTAGGACAGTCCATTTTTGTTGTTCAGCAGAAAAATGTAGTCACCGTGTACCTTCCTACCTGGGGAACGCCACGCATCCTATCAGCAAATTGCTAATTTACTGCCCCCCCCCAACTAAACAGTGCATTATGGATGCGGCAAATGTCAGTTCCAGCATCCTTCTGAAGGACATATGCTGCATCCTTCAAGCTGCGTGCTTGGGCTGTTTGGCTGTCGTTTCAAGTTCTGCACAGGATTAGCACTTCTCATTTGCATGGTTAGCAGCCTTTTGGGGAGGAAATATAATTAGCAGCATTTATTAGCCTGCTATACATGTGGATTTGTGAACCCGTGCATACTTGAAGCGGTCACAAGCAAAACATATGTTCACTGATGAAGGAGAAACAATTATGGGTTCTGTGGAGTTGTCGGCAAGCGATGCATGGAGCGGAAATGAACCCTTTGATCAACTGTTGCTCTTTGACTCTTGTTTCCTCCGCCTGCTCTTGTGAGTCACTGACTCTTCACCTAAAATATAAGGACAGCGATGAGAAAGTCGGCACCTAGTAGACAGAACGTGAATGAAATCAGGCGCAACCCACCTGCTCTCTGAAAATGGTTCCCAGACAGTGCCTTTTTGGAAGTCGTCTGTAATTGACTCGGGCTGCTCTTTGTAGTTAGAACACAACTGATATTCGGACGCCTTCTAATTAGTTTCAGGCAGCCGTGGAGAGATTTGTTTATTCCTGCGCTGGCTACTGTGTGGCTACCTTTGTTCTTGGAATAGGCGACAGGCACAACGACAATATTATGATCACAGAGACAGGTGAGTTTATTTATTATTGTTTTTTACTGTGGTAAAATATATATAACAAAATGTACCACTTTGACTGGTTTTAAGTGTATAGTTAAATGGCATTAAATGCTCACATTGCCGCGCCGCCATCACCACCATCCCCCAGAACTTTCTCACCTTCCCCAACTGAAACACTGTCCCCACTGAACTCATACTAACCCCCCCTTTCCCCTTCCCTCGGCACAGAGTGATATTTACACAGGGTTCAAGGTGGGAGCACACATCTAGAAGTCATTACCGGGCAGGGACATAGACGCTGTGATCACCCCAGAGAGGACCCGGGAGAGAATAATGGAAGAAGATGCCAGAAATGAGACTTCACAAGGAAAAGCCAGAGAGCCGATAGAAAGTTGGGTAGGGGCATATCCCAGAAGCTGGTGAAGGCGGGTGTGGTCAGTAGCATCAGACGTGGCAGAGAGGTGACAACAAGTTCTCCCAGATGTCCTTACATCTGAAACGCTCTGCCTTCCTAACCTACCCCTCGTCCCTCGTTCACGGACCGCCCTGACAGTGGTCAGTACTGGCTACCGTGCCAAGAAAGGTTTCTCTAAGAAATCTGGACCAACTGAAGAGTGGAGCCTGGAAAAAGCACCAGACTGGGGTAAATTGCTTACTCCCTGTGAGAAGCAAAAGACACCATGTATTTATGGACCACATGTGTGATATGGGCTATCTAAACAAGAGGAGATGATGGTAATCATGGTGGTAGTAGTGACAGTGATGGAAATGGACTCAAAGGGGATTCAAAAAGGTTTATTTCTATGGCACTACTCAAAAGTAAAAGGTGAATGCCCTTCCCCCAAGCAGCGTCAACCATCCATGTATCCTGAGTCACATAAAGGGCATAAGAGAGTCCCGGGCATAATGATGACAGATTAGCCAGAGCGTTTGGACTTAACAGTTCTAAGAATAATTCTGAGACGAGTCGAGATTTTTTTTTAATGGCATTTGCTGTCATTTAAAGAACGCCAGAAGGATATCAAAAACACACTTGGTTCAAAGAGTGCTTTGTGGTTACTACTACACACACCTGCTAAGCTGAAAAGTATCACAAGCTGATAAAACAGGGTAAAAATAGCTCTCTCACCCAAGATAGCTCATTTTCAGGCAACTTAAAAAAATATTTCAGGAAATAAACAAACCAGAGTGTTGTTACAAGTGACTGGGCCACTGTAATGATGTCAGACATTTTCTTCTCTGAAGGAAACCTATTTCATATTGACTTTGGACACATTCTTGGGAATTACAAAAGTTTCCTGGGCATTAATAAAGAGAGAGTGCCATTTGTGCTAACCCCAGACTTCCTGTTTGTGATGGGAACCTCTGGAAAGAAGACAAGCCTGTACTTCCAGAAATTTCAGGTAATTGGCCTCCTGCTTCCTGGCCTCCGGGAACACCAACCAGAGGGTGCCTACCGGGCACAGGAGCCCCCCACCCCCGCTCCGGCTCCACTGAGGCTTTTCTGCCCACCCTCTCTGGCAGACACCCTCAGTCTTCCCTGTTTCCTCCATTCCATCCCCAAGGGCAAAATGCCACTCCTCTGTCACCTCCCACCTCAAACCAAATGGCAAGTGAAATGAAAGCATTCCGTAATCAGTGGGACAGGCAGTTACAGGACACCACGATGGTCCCTGTACTGAAGAGGGGCTTGACCAAGGAGTGCCTCCGAGTATTTCTTTCTCTAGTCAAGCCAGGCCCTAGAACAACCAAATTTTACCTGTTCCTTTCAGGACGCTCCAACAGGTGTGAGCTTCTCTTGATGTTTGCTACAGGTGTGTCTTTATCAAATTACGGACAGAGGGCTTGGTGGCAGCACCACTGGACTTGTCTGTGTGTGAAGGACAGTCCCTTCTCTCATTTGAAATCCTGTCAACGTGTCTGCAGGTGGTAAAACCAGCTCTGACACGACCTGCCTACCAGCCCATGAGCTCTGACACAGGCAACCCATCTCCCCGGGGGGTTCACATCCTCCTTTCTTTTTCATTCCTTCCTGGTTTCCATCCCCTTTGACTACCAAATATTTCAAACATCCGAGGAGTAAAATGTTCACACTTGCAAATTTAATCACTGTGAATGAATAGAACTGAAAATTACTACCTAACTGCTACATACGATACCTACATGGTACCCCCTACAAACACAAAACAGATCAGTGGAGGCGAAGAGTGAGCACTTGATCTGCACCTGTGCCTTGGGTCCCCATTAAAGA